TCCCTAACACAGGCCCTCAGTGAAGAAATCTTCTCCACCTCAGTTTTCACACCCAAACCTCCCTTTGCTCTCCTGCTCCCTCCCAGATGAAAGTCATTTCTTTCCCTCTGCTGTGCTGATTGCTCTTCATCTCTCTTTTTAGATGCTTGTCCAACTGGCCCCGGTAAAATGCTTTGCTCACATGATTAAAAGGGATTGAGTGAATATTTTGTTTGATGGATTTTTCTACTTGAGGTAATGCTATGAAGAGACCTTAGGATACTTTTTGTGTGAAAAAGTACTTTAAAAATAAGTATCTTTTCCTGTGGATATTTGTACCTGGGCAAAAAAGTACCGTGCCAGTGAGTTCAAACCGGCATAAAAAGGAACAATATTTTTAAGTATGTAAGTCCTTTTGACTAAAAAAAAAACCAACACACACACAAAAAAACCCAAACACAAAACCTTCAAGCCAAGTATTAATATCTGCACTTTCAGTTTAAGATGTTATGGCCCCAAAAGTTCATTCTGCTGCTTCACTGGTCATTACAATCCCTTTAGCTAAGCGCTGAGTGGAAAACATGCATGCCCTTCATCTGTTTTGCTGGAGAGTCAAGAGGTTTAGATCAGCTTCTCGGCACTTAGAGCCAACCTAGTAGACTTTGCACTGAAGTGACTGAGATACAATCACACATTCTGTTCCCTTTCTGGAAAAAAAAAGTGTTTCCATTAGTCAAGGGGCAAAGGGATGTGAGCGTGGGAGCATTATAACACTGCAGAGATGGCTAAGTAAAAGCTCAGATCGGTAAAAGTAATTAAGCGCTTAACTCCCACCAAATTCAAAGGAAGCAAAACATCTCTATACCTTTATGAATTCCACCACAAACATCTGAATTGCTTCTGAAAAGTCTAACAGGAGCTTCTACATCAGATAAGCAATTTTGTGTTCATGAAGCCCAAAATAAACTTAGTTAAAGGATCAATGTCGAACATTATACTGTGCTGAAGAGCTTCCAAAAGCTGCCATTAGCTCATTATGGCATTAGTCAAGGTTATTCAGGGATTACTGCAACTCTCTCCTGATGCATGGGCCATTGAGTTGCAGCCTGTCCGGATGAACTGCAGGGATCTGAAATGAGCTGCAGAGACTTGGGAAGACTTACTGGGATGATCACCCAATCACTGAATATGCTTTAAGAAAAAAAAATCAGCATGGTGCCTTTTGTGTTGCCTCTGTGTTTATTTTAGCTCACAGGTTTCCAGCCTCTGACTTGGGGATCCCTGGGGGAACTATATTTAAGTAGGCTCTGCAAGATAACCAAGAAAAGTTGGCTGCACTGTGACTGGTTAATTTGCTCTACCTTCCCTGGAAAACACTGAAGGCACCAGAAACAAGAAAGGTCTGAAAACCCAAGGTTGTAACCAACTGCAATGTTCTGAATGAAGAAAGGAACAGGTTTTATACAGCCCTTATTGTTCTAAAAGCTGGAAAATCACTACTATGCCTTTGCCTGGGTTTGGGACAGCTTCCAGCGGCAAGTGCAGGCTCTCCTGGGTAGCCCACTGACCCCTGAGGTCTCCTCATCCATCCTGTGCAGGTCCACTTTTCAGAGGAAGACCAGCCGAGATGGGTTCCCATTGGCCTCTACTGAACAGCACCTCGGGGAGCAGCTGGTGGCCAGCAGTTCGGGCGATGGTTACCACCAGGAGTATGAATGTAGTCTTGGTGTTACAACCCAGAAGGAGGACACCGAACTGGAAAAACTGAGAATGAATAAGGTCTTGAAAATGTGCCTTATAGTGAAAGAAACAAGGAGCTTAGTTTGGTTTTACCCAGAGGAAGATTAACAGGTGACTCAAACATAGCCTATAAATACTCACATGGGAAATCAACATTTCATAACAAATGCTCCTAAACCTCACAGCAAAGGTACAACAGCCAGGGAATAAACACTGCAAATTAATAAACCGAGGCTAAGAACAGACTGCACAATTTAGCAAGGCAAGTAATCAACCATGAGTGCAACTTTCCCAAAGTTTGTGGTTAAAGTCCCCTTTCCCCATCCCCATTTTCTAGACGTAAATCAAGACTAAATTTTTCTCCTAAAAAAAAGAAGTTAAACAGAAAGGAATTCATTTAGGTCCTGTGGCCAGTTCGACAGAGGAGAACAGAGATGCTCACTGGGACCCTTTCTATCTTTACGATCTCGGACGTTGCCTCGCCAAAGGCTTCCAAATGTCTTCCTATTAGTCACCTCCCCGTTCTGCCGTGCGTGTCCAAGGCGATGTATCCCCTTCCACGGCAGCCAAACTCCCAGCAATGTTCATGTCGTGATGTGCTGTCAACACAATCATCATGACACAATGAGAACCGCATTCACCGAACTTAATAGCAAAACAAATATCAGGAAGAATACCACACAGACTGGCTTATTTATTTTCTTATTCAATTCATTCATTAAAACCCTCACCATTTTCTTGCTTATCAGAGGTCACCATCAAATTTCCAGCTGCCACTGAATTTCCAGGCACAACCAAGCACTGATGAATCCACGAGGTCTTTTTGCCGCAGAAATTAAGCCTCATTTGCGAACTTTCCCCAATGTCATATTAATCATTTTGACTGTCCTGATTTTATCAGCAGAATCAATTTTTTTTTTCTTCCTGGTGAACATTTCTTTTAAAGTCGCTTTGTTGTGGAAACAAAAAATATTTACACAATGAGGATGGTCAGTGATTGGATGACAAAATAAGTGCATTTTAAATGCTCATTATATATCTATTGGCATTGGCTTGCTCATTGTGAGCTACAGGCTGCAATTACAGGGACCGGCACTCTCTCTGATGGAGCACACACAGTAGCTGTGTTTACGTTGCTGCGAGAGAGGCCTCCGGAACGGACAGCGCTAGTAGGAAAGCAGCACATGACTTTAAAAAAAAAAAAACAACAACAGCGAAAAAAAGCATGTACTTTTTGGCCAGCAGCAGACTCTGACTCTGCAAACAGCTGTGCCCGGTACACACCTCGGGGTTAGTTACGGCCCCTCTGCCTGAGGTCACCGCGCGGAGCCGCCTGCGGCCATGTGTGCTGCCCGCTCCTAGCAGCCTCGGCTGTCCTGGATGGAGTGGCGTAAAAACATCGCGTCCCCGCACACACCAGGCCGGCACAGCAAGGGGGACCGTCACCGCCCGGCGCTTTGCGGGGAGCAGCGGCGGGAGGCAAAGCATTGTCACCCGGAGCCGAAAACAGACCAGCTCTGCTTACAGCTCCGCTGTCTGAGGAAGCTTTGCTTCGCAGCAAAAAAATTGTAGCCGGTATAAAAATATCTGTGATGGCTGCGTGTATCCCACATCTGCCCACCAGTCTGGTTTGCCACCCTGCCCCAAACACTGGTGTCAGTGGAACCAGGGAATGGAAAAGGAG